TGCTGGAGTATCAGTCACTGCAACACCACACTGCTGTGCCCACTGCTTTCCTGTGTCTGTCAGTCTCCAGGTACCCCTCTGCTGTTGTTCTGTCCTTTCCTATTTCCTGAAATATGTCCTCTCTGCTTCATCCTGATTAAATGTTTCTCCGTCCGTTTAAATGTGTCCTTACCCTATTCCGCCATCTTGATTCTCCCTCTTGCTTCTTTTTATAAGATTTATTTTATTTTTGTTGCAAAGGCAGATGTGCAGAAAGGAGAAACACAGAGGAAGATCTTCCATCCGTTGATTCATTCCCCAAGTGACCACAAGGGCCAAGCTGAGCCAATCTGAAGCCAGGAGCCAGGAACCTCCTCCAGGTCTCCCACATAGGTGCAGGGTCCCAAGGCTTTGGGCCATCCTTGACTGCTTTCCCACGCTACAAGCAGGGTGCTGGATGGGAAGTGGAGCTGCCAGGATTAGAACTAGCGCCCATATGGAATCCTGGTGCATGTAAGGTGATGACTTCAGCCTCTAGGCCACCATGCTGCACCTCCTCCTTGCTTCTTAAGGAGGAAAGAAAAACGTGTGTGTGTGTTTAGATTTGAAAAGCAAACTGAAAAAGAGGGAGAAACAATAGATATCTCCCATCCACTGCTCCACTTCTCAAATGTTCGCCATCTGCCTGGGTCAATTGCAGCAGACAACCTGCATTCAGCAATTAAAGCACTTGAGCCGGCCTGAGCTTCCCCACTGGTATATCACAAAGACGCTGTAAGGAAAGCAGAGCAGCTGGAACTGAACTAGGCACCCAGATATAGAGTGGGGAGTCCCCAGCAGTGGCTTTAATTCACTGTGCCACAGCACCTGCTCCACCTAGCCTCCTGGTAAGCTATGCATTCATTACCCAACAAGTCCTCGCTTTCCTTTCAAAAGGCCAAGTAACATAGACAGACATGAAGATATTTAATCTGCTGGTTCACTCCCCAAATGCCTACAGTATTCTGGGCTGAGCAGAGATGAAGCCAGGGGCCCAAAACTCAATCCAGCTGGTCCACATGGAAGACAGGAACTTCACTCACTGCCTTTCTGGGTATTCATTATTATGTGTGTTTTTACCTTTTTTTAAATTATCTTTTCTTTTTTTCCCCCTGTGTGTTTGCATTATTAGGAAGCTGCAATAGCAGCAGAACCAAGACGTGCACCAAGGCACTACAACAAAGGAGGTTCGCCTCCCAGTGGCATCTGAACCACTGTACCAAAGCCATCCCCTCCTGCGCCCACCACTGTGTGTGCAGTTCCCTGTTGACAGCTCCATGGCTATGCGGTGCATGAGAGGACTTCTGAATAACTGTCCAAGTTACTAAACCGCTCTGGGCTTCACTCTCCGTATCTTGGTTCACTCCCTAAATGACTACAGAGCCAAGACAGGAGCTTCGTCTAGTCTCCCATGTGGGTGCAAGGGCTCCACCGCTTTCCTCCACTGTTTGCCCAGCCACATTATCAGGAAACTGGAAAGCAGCAGAGCATCCAAGACTAGTGATGCTGCAGGCACAATGCCAGCTCCCAACACAAACCTCTAGAATGAGGAAGGGTTCTCCAGAGTTCCCCCTCAACTCCCTTCAGATCTGATCAGATCATCACATGCCATCCCTAAGTCAATCTCTGTGTAGAAGATAGAATTACAGCAACAATTATGATAATGAAGACCTTCTCCCTTGCGGCAGGGCAGAGCAACCAGATTCCCAACAGGAAGGGCTGGAGTCCCCGTTATCAGGATCAGAACTGAACTGCAAGCATCACTCAGAAGGTGCTCCCAAAGGCAGTGAAATCACTACAAACTTGTGTCAGTCATGAAGGCGGCCCCAACAGCAACAGCACAGGAAACAGAACACCCCTGGGTGGCAGTGAAAGGCAGCAGTCTCTGTTCTCATGGGGAGTGAAGGCAGCCATGTTGGGGTGCTGACACCCGAAGTCTACATTACCACACCTGCACTAATTACCCAATGTTCTCAAAGCCTCAGTTAATCACCAGAAATGGGAACAGCCCACCTATCTCCAATCAGATGTCAGAATTAAATGTATCATTGCATTAGTTGTTATTCCCCATGTATACAGATGATCCTGTCCCACTTTCCAGTTCCTCCAAAAAAGGACTTTCTGAAACACAAGGCGGATCAGGGGGAGAGGTGGATCTCTGGGCTGATGCTGTGCAGCGCAGGGATCCCCTGTGGGCACCAGTTCGAGTCCCAGCTGCTCCCTGTTTACAGCCTGGGAAAGCAGTGGAGGATGGCTCAGGTTCCTGGGCCCCCGTATCCACACGAGGAAACAGGAAGAAGCTCCCGGCTTTGGATTGGTCTAATTTGGCTGTTGTGGTCATCTGGAGAGTGAATCTGAGGATGGAAGATCTCCGTTTTTTCTCTCACTGCCTTTCCAACAAAAATAAATAAATTTTCAGGAAAAAAAAAAAAAAGAGAAAGACAGATGGATCTAGAAAGGGAGAAGTTCCTGACTCTGAACTAAAAATTCCCTTGGGAACTTGGTAAGCTTTTACTTCACTGAGTAACTTTCATCCTGAACCCCACCAGTGAAGTCTTAACATTGTAAGTATTTTTAGAGGTTCCTGTACAATAAAATGACTAAGAATGTAACTTCTGGTTTTGCAGTCAGCTGTTACACTCTGTAAGGTTGTCTGTCAATCTTTTTTTTTGTTTTTTTAAGAATATAAATTCTGGGCCTGGTGCAATAGTCTAGTAGTTAAATCGTCGCCTTACATGTGCCAGGATCCCATAAGGGCACTGGTTAGTGTCTTGGCAGTTCCACTTCCCATCCAGCTCCCTGCTTGTGATTTGGGAAAGCGGTAGAGGATGGCCCAGTCTTGGGACCCTGCACCTTGGTGGGAGACGCAGAAAAGCTACTAACTCCTGATTGGCTCAGCTCCACCTGTTGGGGCCACTTTGGGGAGTAAAGCAAAGGATGGAAGATCTTGTTTCTCCTCCTCTCTGTAAAATCTGACTTTCCAATAAAAATATACAAAACTTCAAAGAAAAAAATTGAAATTTTTTCTTCTTTTCTTAAAATGTATTTTCACTGGAAAGAAATATTTACAGAGAGGAGGAAAGAGAAAAATCCTCCATCCTTTGGCCCACTCCCCAAATGGCTACAACAGCCGGAGCTGAGCAGATCTGAAGCCAGGAGCTTCTTCCAAGCTCCCACGCGGACGCAGGGTTCCAAGGCTTCGGGCTGTCCTTGACCGCCTTCCCAGGCCACAAGCAGGGAGCTGGATGGGAAGTGCAGCAGCTGGGATATGAAGCAGTGCCTACTTGGAATCCTGGCACTTAGAGGTAGATTAGTCAGTTGAGCCAACATGCAAGGTCCTAGTCTGTCAATCTTTAAAACCTGAAAAACATATCTATTTGTCAGAGTTTAAGAAGTCAAATGTTAATTGCTTCCTTGGACAGCACCAGTGTTCCTGAAACCAAAGACCACCACAAAGTCTGGAATAGGTAAGTCTCTCAAATCTTTTCATTGATACATAAAGTTGCCACTAGGAACAAAAGCCTGTCAGTCTTACCATGCCGTGGAGGACTCGGAAAACAAAGTGCTTAAGGGAAAGGAACTAAAAGAATCTGTTCTGATATTTACAAAGCCTTTGCTGAACTCCAAATACCGAGTTATCTTGTCACTCTGAATAAGAAAAGGATGGCTCTGAGAGCTAGGAAAAGAACACTGCAGATTTTGCTGGATGGTTTCCACACGGACGGTTGCATTGTGCAAGTATGTGATTTGTCTGGGTGACAGGCCTGCCAACAGTACCAGAACTTATTCTAAAGTTACTGCCTTACAGTTCAGAAAATAATTTTTTTTCTTCATTAGGATCACTGATCCTAGACCAAGCAACATTGCAGAAACTCAATTTCAGGGTGTCTTCCCCTCCCCCAACACACACACATACACACACACCCTATTTCGGAGCAGCAATTCACTCTGAATTTTTTTCTCTCGGTTTTGTTCGGACCAAAGGTTTCCAAGCGAGCCCACAAGCAAAAGCACAACTTCGCTTAGGCTTAAAAAAGCATTTCTTTACCCTCTGTCCAGCCCAACCACTAGAGGGCCAAGCAATTAAAAGGCCGGGGGGGGGGGGAGGAGGCAGCGGTTACTTAACTGGGAATCTGAAGAATCACCCTGCCTTAGCCACTACCCTGGGTGAGTTACTTTCCCTCCCTATGCCTCAGTTTCCTCGTCTGTGAAATAGGAACACCGCTTGTACAATGGACGCCGAGGCATGTCAAGCGGTGAGCAACATGCTTGCACACACAACAGCCCAGCCCATCCACGCTCACACCACCGACTCCACGTCCAAAGGCTCGGATCCTCTTCCAGAGCTCAACAGGTCACTCCCTGTCCGCCAGCCAGGACTGGCCCTGAAGCCCTCAGTCCCCGGACCCAGCGATATCCACCAGGGCTCGACCCTCGGTGTCCTCCGGCTAGCAGGGCCGTCACGGAGCCCCGCCGCACCACCCCATTTCCGCCTCCCTCTCGGCCTCGGGGGGCGCGAGCTGTCCTCGCCCCGGCGGTCTCTGCTCACCGGCCCGAGGCTAGGTCACCCAACGCCCCCTTCCTTCCCTCATTCCGGTCCAGATGCACGTCCCCGTCACACACACACACACACACACACCCCGAAAAGAGGGTGCCTTCCGCGCCCCCTCCGGCCAGCCGCCCGCAGCCTCGGCGCGGGGCGCACCGCAGGCCCCTGGAGTGGGCTCCGGCCCGAAGCCACCACGTGGGGACCCCGGGCACGTCCACGGAGCCCCGGGGCCAGCTCCGGAGCTGCTCCCCGCGCGGGCCCGAGCCCGGCTCCAAACTGGCTTCGGGGGCACCTCCGGCCTGGCTTCCCCCTCGGACCTTCTCTAGAGGGACTCCGGACGCCTTACGCAGACAGGGACACGGGCCCTCGCCAGACCCCACAGCCCCAAGACCGCCTCAGCCAGGGCACCCCGGTGCCTGGCAGCCTGACTCACCCATCGCGGCTCCGCTCGCTCGGACTTGGCGGCGGCAGCCTCAGCGGTAGCTCCAGCAGACAATATGGCGGACCCGCAGGACGGCAGCCCGAAAGGGACAGACATTCAGCTCCGGAACGGAACGCCTTCTCGGCTCAGCTGCCTAGATCTTGCCAAACGCGCTTGCTTAAAGAGCCCGCAGCTTTCAAAGGTGGGGGATGAGACTTGGATTCCGAAAAAGTGTGGCTGGACGGAGACTGGGAGGGACAGGCACTAAGCAGTTGAACGTGCTTTAGCAGTTCGCAACTGTTTCTGATCTCCTCCCAGAGAAACTTTTGCCAGAAACTCAGGCTTCCCTTCATAATTAAAGCCCATAATACATTCTGAGGTGAATAATAAGGAGTCAGGTGGAGAGAAGTGACTGGCTCAAGATTAGAAATTAGGAAAGGAAGACTAAACCCGGACTTTTTCACTGGGCCACCTGCCCATAGCCCTAGTTGAGACTGCGATCTTGGAGATGTGGAAATTTAAAAAATAAATAAATAAACCTATGTGTGCAGTGTAGTTAACAGAGCGATTTCACAATCATTATTGTGAACGTATCCTCCCAGCAAACTCCTTGAGGGCAGGGATGGGTTGTAGATGGCTATCCAGCATCTAGCGCAGTATCTGGCACGTGTTTGTTGAATGAAGAAACAGGACAGTTGGGTACACAGTGCAAGGAATAAACTCCTCTTTTGAAAGGCCCAGTTACAGAGAAGGAGAGACACAGAGAGGTGTCTTTATTCTGCTGCTTCACTCCTCAAATGCGTGCTACAGCTAGGGTTGGGCTGGTCCAAGCTAAGAGCCAGAAACTGCAACCTGGCACTGTCACCTATGTGACAGGGATGTGGGGATTTGAACCAGCACCACCAGACCCACCCTTAACTCACACCCCCACTCCCCCCCTTTTTTTTTTTAAGAAAATTGAGGCTCTGAATGGTCCTGTACCTTTTTTGTGTGACAAAACATATCTTTCTGAGAAATAGGGGAACAGAAAGAGGTCACTGCTGATTCTCCCCCAAGTATCCACATAAACCTGAGAGTCTGAAATACAGTTTGAGTCTCCCAGGTGGGTAAGCAGGCACCTAACTTCACGAGTTACCACTGTTGCCTCTCAGAGTTCATATTCACAGGATGCCAGAACTAGAAACTGGAGCAGGATTGGAAAACGAGTGGGGTGTGGGCAGCTGTCCTAACCAACATCTTGACAGGCCAAGTGTCCATTCTCTCGTGCATTTTATATTGTGGAATTTGCATCAGTTTCAAAGGCAGGTACCTCAAAATGTGTATGGAAAATAGAATTTTTTTTTTTAGAAAGGTGGGGTTGGGATATATATTCCTGGAGCAGTAGCCTAGTAGCTAAAGTCCTTGCGTTGCATGTACCTGGAGCCCAAATGGGTGTCAGTATGTGTCCCTGTAGCCCTGCTTCCCATCCAGCTTCCTGCCTGTGGCCTGGGAAGGCAGTGGAGAATGGCCCAAAGCCTTAGGACCCTGCACCCACATGGGAGACCTGAAAGAAGCTCTTGGCTCCTGACTTTGGATTGGCTCAACTCTGGCAGTTGTGGCTGCTTGGGAAGTGAATCAGTGGATGGAAGATCTTTCTGTATATCTATCTGCCTTACCAATAAAAATTTTAAACTTTTTAAAAGGAGGGTAAGCATTTAGGCATTTGGCACAGACATAAAGTCCCTGTTTGAGGGATTCACAGCCCATATCAGTGTCTGAGTTCTTTCTTTTTCCTTCTTCTTCTTCTTCTTTTTTTTTTTTATTACAAAGATATACAGAGAGGAGGAGAAACAGAAAGGAAGATCTTCCGTCCAATGATTCACTCCCCAAGTGAGCACAAGGGCTGGTGCTGTGCCAATCTGGAGCCAGGAACTTCTTCCAGGTCTCCTACACAGGTGCAGGGTCCAAGGGCTTGGGCTGTCCTGGACTGCTTCCCCAGGACACAGGTAGGGAACTGGATGGGAAGCGGAGCTGCGGGATTAGAACTAGCGCCCATATGGGATTTTGGCAAGCCCAAGGCAAGGACCTTAGCTGTTAAGCCATCGTGCCGAGCCCTCTTTTCTTTTTTAAGATTTATTTCTTTTTATTGGAAAGACAGATCTACAGAAAGAGTGACAGAAAGTTCTTCAATCTACTGATTCACTCCCTCAAGTAGCCGCAACAGCTAGAGCTAAGCTGATCCAAAGCCAGGAGCCTCTTCTGGTCTCCCATGTGGGTGAGGGTTCCAAAGCTTTGGGCCGTCCTCCACTGCTTTCCCGGGCCATAAACAGGAAGCAGCTGGCACTGGTATGGACTGGCACCTGTATGGGATGCCAGCATTTGAAGTGGGAGGATTAGAAAACTGAGCCATTGTGTTGTACCCCTAAAAAGATAATTTTTAAAAATTTAGGGCAGAGCTCAATCATGCGACTAGTATTTATTATTACTATTTTTTTAAAGATTTATTTAATTATTGGAAAGTAAGATACACAGAGTGGAGGAAAGACAGAGAGAAAGATCCTTTGTCCGTTGATTCACTCCCCAAGTGGCCACAATGGCTGGAGCCGAACTGAACCGAAGCCAGAAGCCAGCAGTCTCTTCTGGGTACCCCATGTGACTATAGGATCTCAAGGCTTTGGGCCATCCTCGACTGCTTTCTCAGTTAGAAGCAGGGAGCTGGACAGGAGGTGGGGCTGCGGGGACACGAACTGGTGCCTACATGTGATCCCGGCACATGCAAGGAGTGGACCTTAGCCACTAGGCTATTGCGCCAGTCCCTATTACTATTTTTAAAGATGTTCTTAAAAGGCAGATTGACAGAAAGGGAGAGAGAGAGATCTTCCATCCACTAATTCACCCCTCAAATGGCCATAATGGCCAGGGCTGGGCCAGGCTGAAGCCAGGGACCTGGAACTCCCCTAGGTTTCCTGCTTTGGTGGTGAGAGCTCAAAGACTTGGGTCATCATGTACTGCCTGCTGGGCGTATGTCAGCAGGAAGTGGATCGGAAGTGGAGGAGCCACAACTCCAACTGTTACTCCAAGATGTGATGCCAGTATCCCACACAGAGCCTTAATCCATAGTGCCACCAGCCTCAGTCCCTCTCCAGGAACTTCTTGAAATCCCTTTGATTCGGTGTCTCTCTTAGTGCAGTAACATGCCAGTCCTTCTGTCCCATGTAGCCAGGCAATGTCTCCAAGTCGCTGGTCACAAGGGGAATCTGTCTTCTGCAAACACCATGAGGGACCTGGTCCCCAGGATCTGTCCCAACTAATGACCAGTTCTAGCTGTATGCCTTCCTCATTAAGGGAACCAACTCCAGGTGGACCTTGTGACTCGAGGTTAGGAAGGGGAGTCCTCTTGTTCCATAACCACTGCTCCAGGTCAGACCTCACCCTTTCTGCCTGCCTCCAGACTCTTCTAAGCAGACCTTGCAGTGTCACTCCTCTGCTTAGGTAACTTCCACCCTTAGGCAATGCCCCGGCATCTCACTGCGGCACCCAGCTGCTTCTGACCAGCTTCTTGGGTCACTCTAGTACATAACGCACGACACATCCAACAATTAGGGAAACACTTTTCCTCCAAGAGGCTTGCATGTTTTTTGGTGCCTTTGTGTGTGCTGTTCTCCTTGGAAGGCATTCCCACCCCTCCTGCCCTGACCACTGGGGTAACACTCTCAGGATTCCATTCCAGCATTACTGCGGAGGAGTCTGTCTTTCCAGACAGGGTTATCTGTACTCCCTGTTGCCAGCTCCCTGAACACTTGTTTTACTTGGTACCTCACATCCTGAGGTGCTCATAAGTTGTGCTCAGCCCTCCCTGTTGCGTGTGTAACTCAGTGTCTAGCAGTATGTCTGATTCAACATGTGAACCAGAACCATTCCCAGGGTGTGTCTCTGAATACTCTGTGGCCATAAAGCTCTCAGGGAACACAGGCTGGCTGCATGAGAAGGGCTGTGGATGTTCTCTTCTGGTCCCCAACCCTCCCATCCAGGTGACCCAACCACCTTGTTTCCATTCTAGTGCATGATCGTGTGTGCACACATCCTCACTAGCTTGGGGTCACTGGTCTTCCCCCATTCAGCCTCTGCTGACCTACCCACCCACCCTGCGCCCTGCCTAGTTCCATTCTCCTTAGTCTTCCCACTCATGCCCTCCAACACACCAAGATGTTCCAAAATCCATGTGCTATCACATACTGCTCCCCTTTTCTCGCTGAAATAAATCCCTTTCTTCCTGTAGCTAACACAGCTCAGGCCCTGCTCCTCCAGAAGCCCAGAGAGCAGTATACACCCTGCTTCCCGCCACCCACACCCCAAACCTACCCTGGCACCCCTCCGTACCTTGTTACTGCTCTACTCACCCCAGGGTAGTCTTATTTCTGTACTGTGGCATCTTCACCAGCTCCCACAGCACCTGCCCCGCCAGTCCCAGCACTGCATGCTAAATCACACATCATACGCTGCTGGACAGTGGTGGCCCCTTTCAGCTGTTAGCTCGGACAGGTCACTAGAGATGAGCCGAGTTTCTTCATCTACAGGAGTGGCAGCACCTCCCTCCTGCAGCTGTCATAGTTAGACTGAGGAGGCAAGAGACACACACAGGGCAGCATGTGGCGTGTGGCAGTGTGTGGCTGGCGTTCAGTTGACAACAGTTATCACTGCACCATGGCCTCTGGTGCCTCCTCATCGGCTGGCTATCCACTGGAGCAAGCAGGATAGGCAGAAGCCCTGGATTCCCACACTGTCCTGCACTCTTCCAGCCAGGCAAGAAGGAGACAAAGAACCACAGGACACAGGCTTGTTGGTTGTATAAAAATAGGACTTCTTTCCCCCTTGTTAGCACATCAATTATCAAAGAAAGAAACAGTACGTAACAAAAATACAAAGCTCTGGTGGATTTTTTTGTCTTTTTGTTTTTTTCCCCTTCCTCCATGTCCTTCCCCAGGGACCCCCCTCCCTAGGGGGGCTCAGGAGAATCGGTGGTCTAGGTCTCTTTGGGGGCTGGCCGAGTACGAGTAGGCCTTGCCCAACACCAGGCGGTCCCGTAGCAGCTTGAAGAAGGCGTAGTAGTTGCTGAAGAGGATGAGGGCCAGGGA